TATTATTATTATTATTATTATTATTATTATTATTATTATTATTATTATTATTATTATTATTATTATTATTATTATTCTTATTCTTATTATTATTATATTATTATTATTATTATTATTATAGTGTGTACATGTCAACCATTAAAATATTAATATATTTAATGTATTACAAGTAAAAGGGTAAACGTAAGAACAGCAGTAGAAGTTCAAAGGGAAACAACAAAAAAAGGAGAAACTTCAATTAAAAGGTCAAAAGGGACGAACCCCCTCTTCTTATAAGTTATTACAGTATAATAGTATGCGCCTAATTTTGGTAATACTGCGCATTACGCAGTGGGTTTTGGGGTCGCTAATTTTAGTGACCGATTTTCTGATGATCACTGAATTTGCATTTAGAATTTTGATTTTCAATTAGAAGACGAATTTGGAGATTATGCAATTTTGAAAGGAAAATGTCGAAATTAATTACATAGACACTTTATTTGATCAAAGAAATCAGCATACGAATATTAAAATTATTATGGAATTATTAATTATTCACTGTCAAAAAAATTAAGGTTGCGTAGAATGAAGCTGTGTTTAACAACAGAGGATAATTTTAAATTGGATAGATTTGGGTTAAATGAAAAGAAAATTTTTTGATTTTGTTCTTTGTTCTGTATCATGATTGGATTTCCTGTCGTTTAAAGTTTCCCAAGACTCGAGAAGTTTTTGCTCGTTTTCCGGATGTATAATCAATGGAAAGTAAATCATATTTACCTGCTCTCAATTTTATTATGTGCTTAAAATCGGCTGAATACATTGTACAAACTAATAAAATATGTCTATACAAGTGTCTGTGTTATGTGCGCGAGTATCCAAGTGTGTCTGTGTGTACGTACGTCTATGAGAAGAAAATTTTTGCTATGATTTTAATTTTTTTTGTATTCTTCTGGAGGTTGATAATGATTTCAGTTGAATAATAACGCCAAAAAAAGAAGAAAACGGGAAAAGAAACAAGAAATGCCACAATAGCAGATATTGTTGTTCGTTACGAATAGGAATGCATGAATGCATCAATGAAATTTCAAATATTCGTATTACTACGTAACTACAATTACCATCAATACTGGCAATACAAGAATTATTCGGTCGTCGTTACATTTCATACCGTTTTTTAAAAATTTCATCGAGCGTGGATATTATTATCCTTTTTTAGCGTGAATTACATCATTTTCAATTTTAGTAATTAATAATAATTTTCTTCGTTATTCGTCTTTTCTTGCGATTTCTTTCTTTTTATCATCAATCACTGTGAGCATTGTACACTTTTTCGCCAATCCCATTTCATTCATAAAAAGTAACATTAAATCACCCTGCATATAACTGTGAATAGAATGAATGTGTATGCTGTGTTATGCATGAAAAGATTATGCAATTGCATACAATTGCATTTTCCGTTTTTAGTCAATGAATCATAAACCCATCGTTTCCTTTTCTCCTTTATCCTTTGTATTTTCTGTCAAGAACGCAAAACAAAGTTCAGCAAGATTCGATACACTTCTTGATAGCGATAGCATTTCAATTGTCGTTTCCGGATAATCAATCACCAATTCGACGGACGCGTGCAGAACAAACAAGTAGTAGAACGCTCGAATGTGTGGTCTACAGCATGGCGTCGTAATTTTTTTATGCTATTTGCATTTTTTCACAAGCTTTTCCCCATTTCTCTTATGGTGATGATAAATTTTAATTTCTTTCGGCGTTTTCCTTAATTACGGTGATTTCCCAAATCGATCATTATTTATTTCAACTTATGTTAAATCCACGGCGAAAATCGCTCTGCACGAATGATTTGGTTTTGCGTTCTCCACATTGTTGTCGATAAATGATATTCTTTTATAAGATTGGTACACAACTTTTCCAAAATATTTTTATTTGGCGTCCCCCGAGTTCGTCCTTCTTGTCCTTGTCACCAAAACAAGTTAGTCTTTTATATGTAGAAAATCTGTATTCATTACCCCACTCCGCCCGAATGTTTTCTATTTTCCACTTTGTTCCCTGATCCATTGATATTTTAATAGTAATTCAGTACAATTGTAAATAAACTGTCTAAATGAGAGTTAAAAAGACGTGGGAACTTATGGTGTCGAAATTCTCTCTTCCGCAATTAACATTTTAACTAATGCTAAATTGGCTAACTCCTCAAGTATGGGGGTTTATCATCCGGAAATCCCTTTAATGTTCCTTAAACTTTAAATTTCTTAACGTTAAGCATTAAGTATGAAATCTAGTACTGACTGACCATATGATCGGAAAAACTGGAAATAATTCTGATCGAACATTTTTATGACATTTAAAAGCAAAGATTTTATTTATCGTTATGTAACACGTGTAATCACGTGATTCATCGTTTGCATTCGCTAATTGGTCATTTTTTTTTGAACTTGTAGCATTAAACCAAAACACCAAAATACTCTGCTTTTTCAGGATACTTTTGCGCAAGATATGGCCACTGAACCAAAAACCGATCAACAAAGTTGAGTAAAAGTCGTCCAGACAGTGATAATGAATTTACACGCGCAAATGATTCAATATATATTATACGAACATGTTTTATTCCGAGGATCTTTGTGAGGCAAACGGCAAAAATGATAAATAATTAATAAACCGAACAATTAATCTTTATTTAAACTTACTCTTGGAATATAAGATATAACGCAAATAGGGATGCAACTTCCTGGACCATTACATATAATCTAAATATAGATATAGTAGTCAGTTGTTAATCGTGTTACAATTTTTCAGGTGGAAAACTACATAATGACAATAAGCAACTTACAAGATCAGGTAATTCAAAGAGCATCAAAGTTAACGATGGTACCAAGGCTCTAATCACCGATATTGGTGTAGTCAACCACGATTGACCTACTTTTCTGGCTCGTGGTATTTTTCTGATTTGATACTTTAGGCTTTTTAGAAAAGTCGAGCGGAAAAGTAAAAACATTCATCAAAGAATAATAATACATACATACATCGATACCTTTTACCCCGCCCTTCCACTTCTCGAATTCATGCGCTTTTCTTTCACTCAATTCGTCGTTATCAGCCATTATGTATAGACGCGGTTGATATTTTTGGTGATTTATTTTCTTTAAAAGTTGAAACATTTCCATCGTGTGGCCGCCTTTTGCATGATTTAATAATTATGTAGGACAAATTTGCAGATGCTGTTTATAATGACAAATATCTAGCATATATTTAATTTACCTGAACCTAATATAATACATGTTTTGCAAGATAATCGTTTCTTTGGATTGTAGTGTTTTTCTCGTTTCAATGTTGCAGGTAAAACTTTGTAGAATCGATAAGTGAAGAGCGCAAACAATAATATTATTGTTGATATTAGCAAATAAACAGATAGATTCATTTTCTTCATGATCTTCCTTGCAAATCGCATAGTTCATTTGCATGTAGCGGTCACCATAATTGCGGGGTGCATTGATACAAAAACACTTGTACAAAGACACAAAGTTTAACGTTAAATGTTCGGTAGAACGTTCCGCGTGCAGAGTAACCTTAAAAAAATACCACTTTTCCATCTCGTTTCTGCTACTATAATGTCTAATGTGTCTCAGTTCGGTAATTAAAATTTATAAAGTGTCGAAATGGAAGAAAAATGCGAAAATTAAATTCCTTACACTTTTTTACTTAGCATATCGACCGGTGGTAATAGTTGTATCAGGACCCTCAGGTTTAATGACTAACTCAAATTCTCCAAGTTTCATGAATTTGCAAGGATTATTGATGAATTTTTTTTCCAAAAAGGTTCCGGAAAGTCAACCTTACTAAATAAGCTATTCGAAGAACACCCAAACAAGTTTGGATACAGTGTTTCTCGTACGAAAGTTTGTTCTTTTTACTTTCTTTAACTCGACATTTCATACTTTACTTTTTGATTTTTTTGATTGCTAACTGTTTTTCGTAGATACAACGCGAAAACCGCGTCCTGGCGAAGAAGACGGGAAAAGTTATCATTTTGTAACACGCGATCAATTCGGTCAACTCATAAATGAAAACGCGTTTATCGAACATGCTGAATTCTCGGGGAATTTGTATGGAACAAGTGTGAAAGCTGTTCGTGATGTAGAAGATTCAGGAAAGATTTGTATCTTGGATATTGAATTAAATGTAAGTAACCAAACAGAAATGATTAAACATTATGCTGGGGTAAAATTAATAAAATAATAATAAAAAATTTAGGGAGTTAAAGCGGTAAAGCGAAAACGAGATGAATTAGATGCAAAATTTCTATTCGTCTCTCCTCCTTCACTAAAAATTCTTGAAGAACGATTACGTGGACGAGGGACCGAAAGTGAAGATGCAATAAAATCTCGACTTGAAGTGGCCAACGAAGAGCTTGCTTATTCACAGCAAGAAGGTGCTCATGATTTGATAATTGTTAATGATGATCTTGATACTGCATATCAAAATTTCAAGAACTTTATTCTCGATACGTATGATCGAAAATTTGCGAATATTTAAATCTAATACAACAATGAATCATATTTGATTCGTTTGTTAAGCAGTAAATTAAAAAAAAAAAAAATATCTAAATCAGAATTAGAACTTAATTCCCAATTTATGTTCCATCGAAGCATGTAAATCCATTGGCTCAATTGATAATTCTGGATCTATTAAATGAGTTAATGGGTTATTATTATACGCAATAAAAGAAAGATTCCTTAATAATAACGACAAATACCATTCAAGAAATCATCGAATTCAATCGTCTCGTCTTTACCCATGAGAATGTCTAAAGCTAAATTGGATGAGGGTAAAATTGGTGCGCGTTGAACCTGTATAATAGGGAGAAACGAAAAAATTTTAGTATTTAATCAACGATTGAACTTTGCTTATCTTTTATTACCTTTGATACAATGTTTCTTTCCATTAGGTGTCTTATTGGTGCATGGATACCATAGATTCGCCTTTCCATAGTGAGTTTAAGGTTTATTTGAGTTTGATTCCACTATTCATTTATATCATTCGGAGGTACGCGTTATTCTAAAAACATTCTTTCTTTTTGTTATATAATCTAGAAACAAGGATTATTTTACCTGGTCAAGTCTTCTTTCAAGAGGATGACTAGGCAAAAGTTCATTAGCAATAGACCTCGTACCAAGACGAAAAGTATCATGAACACCAAAAGAATTTGCAGTCGATGCTATACTTTTCGAAGAGGAACCTTCTCCTGGGTGAGAAGAAGGAACAACGCGAAGAGACTGTGTTGCCTATTTAAGAAATGAATAAGTTTGTTTTCGTCTTCTCTTAAGGAATTCACTAAACATAATATATACCATTATTTTGTTAATGATTAAAGAGTATTTCCAAAAAAATGTGTAGATGACGCGGCACAGTATAACATGTAGATCAATAGATCGTGAAACAACCAATTGGAAAAAAAATTTTTTTTCTGCTAAAAACACCAAAAACAAAAAATAAAAAATATGGGTAAAGCCAAAAAAGAAAAGAACAGAATTGCTGCTAAGCAAGCAGCGGTCTCATCGTCTTCAGGTCCCGTTGCTGCGGGTAACCTACGAGTAAAAGGAGAAAACTTTTATCGAGATGCAAAAAAAGTAAAGTTTGTTAACATGCTTAAAGGCGGAACTGCTATACGTGATAGTAAAGGAAAAATTATTAAAGACGCGCCGTTTCAAAGTCGTGTTAAGCCTTCTGCTAGAGTTCAACCAGATAGGCGGTGGTTTGGTATGTCTTATTTATTCTTTGCTGGTCATTGGATAATGAATCATCGATGGCCAAATATGAAACGAATTCTTAAATATGAGCTTTCTTACGATGATGACAATTGCAAGATTTACTTGATCGATTGTCAATAATATATTTAATTGAAATCTTGTTCTTTATAAATCGTGATCATCATCTTTACAGTAATAATTTTCAATTGAACACAAAAGGAAATACTCGGGTAATCGGCCAGAAACAACTGGAAGATTTCCGGGAAAGTTTAGGGGCTAAAGTTAATGATCCATATCAAGTTTTATTACGGCAGAATAAATTACCTATGACTTTGCTCGCTGATGCTGCCAAGGTATCAATTATGTGCATGCTTTGCCATCTTATTTGACTTGATGTTAGGTGCATCAACTCACTTGTTGCAAATTTTAATTATAAATTAGGTGACTAGAATGCACATGCTGGAGACAGAAGCATTTTCAGACACATTTGGACCAAAGGCGCAACGAAAACGTCCTAAAATTAAAGTTGATTCGCTAGAGGATTTATTCAATAGTACTAAAGAATCGTTGGAAGGCTACGATGAAAAAAAAGATCCGTCATTATTATCCAATATTAACACGGATTGGATATATGAGGCTCGTGATAGTTTGTTCTCAAAGGGCCAATCAAGACGTATTTGGAATGAATTGTACAAGGTAAAATATTATTTAATAATCTTTCAAATATCAACGAAAAGATTAATTTAACAATTTATCCCAATCCAGGTTATCGATTCTTCAGATGTTGTAATTCATGTGTTAGATGCACGTGATCCAATTGGAACACGATGCAAGAACGTGGAACAATATCTGAAAAAAGAAGTCAGTCATAAACATCTGGTGTTCCTTTTGAATAAGTGTGATCTTGTTCCTACTTGGGTTACGGTAAGTAATAATATTTTTGAATTAATTACGAGTGAGGGATTAAAAACAATAATCTGTCAAACGCCATAATGAAGTCAGTGTCAACTTTATCGCATGATGTATATCCTATCTGCGGTATCTATAGAGTTCACACGTTATAATTGTGGCAGATTAATTTATATTGTGTTCCTTTGAGTAGAGGAGTAAACATGTTCCATATTGCTCCTCTTAGTTAAGTTTCACACATTCAAAGAAAATTTACATTAAATAGAAAAGGAATTCAATTTAATTCATTTATTTTTATTAAATATCAATGCAGGCAAAATGGGTATCAATCTTATCAAAAGATTATCCAACACTCGCATTTCACGCAAGCATCAACAATTCTTTTGGTAAAGGATCCTTAATACAGTTATTACGTCAATTTGCATCGCTGCATTCGGATAAAAAACAAATAAGCGTTGGTTTCATTGGCTATCCAAATACCGGCAAGAGTTCAATAATTAATACGCTACGAAGCAAAAAGGTGTGTAATGTCGCCCCGATTCCTGGCGAAACTAAAGTTTGGCAATACATTACTCTTATGAAACGTATATACCTAATTGATTGTCCTGGGATTGTACCACCATCACTTGAAGATACAGAAACCGATATCGTGATGAAAGGTGTTGTAGGTATTGTTTTCCTGCTTGGCCATTCCATTCTTTACGATATAATTAATAAATTCCTAAATTTCTTGTAAATTTTTTTTCGGTAAATTTTTATCTAAGGTGAGAGTGGAAAATCTAAAGACACCCGAGGATTATATCGTTGAAGTGCTCAAACGGGTTCGTAAAGAGTATATTCAACGAACATACGAAATTAATGAATGGAAAGATCATTTCGATTTTATTGGACAATATGCACAAAAAACTGGCAAACTGTTAAAGAAAGGCGAGCCAGATATTCATATTGTTTCAAAGATGATATTGAACGATTGGCTCCGAGGTAAAATACCATATTTTACACCGCCTCCTTTTGATGAAGAAATTTCGAGCAACGCGACATCAGAGGTGAAAGAAAAAGAAGAGAAAATCATAAAAGTAAGAAACAACTGTATGTACAGATATCGCGTATATATTTCTTTCGTTTTCGGTGGTTATCTATAATTAATGAATTTTTGTACTAAAAGGAGGAAAAAAAGCAACCAAAAGGTGTCGAACAAATATTTCGTAATATTCAAGTTGTAACTGATTTTCTTCCCGATGATTTGAGAAAAGATGCGGAAGTTACCACATCCGAAAGCATTTCTCAGTATTACGATAAGAGTGATGTTATCGAAGAGAATATCAAAGATGAGACGAAGGTTAAAGATGAAAATGAGGTGGTTGATTGGGATGAAATATTTCAAAATGTTGTTGGAAAAGAGACTTCTGGAATTGTAAGTATACTATTGATAGTTTTTTTTATTGATTTGATTATGTTGTAATTTTTTATTGATTTATTTGATTATGTTGTGATTTTTTATTGATATAGGACGAAGTAATAACAATTGATCTAACAAGATCTACAACCGAAAGTGTGGCTGATGACCATGTTACATTATCGGGGCCTGAATCTGAACACGAGTCGATTCAAGAAACTCAATTGTCGGAGCTTAATGGTGATGAAGACGACAATGATGAAGATGACGATGACGAAGACGACGAAGACGACGATGACGAAGACGACGATGATAGTGAAGATGTAAATCATGAAGAATATTCATCGTCTCGTAAGCGCAAGAGAATCACTAGCAATTCTTCACATACAAGCAAAAGTCATAAAAAAGGAAAACGAAAAAGTAATTAATCATTCAATTAATGTTTTCGCTGTAAATTCTCACAAGATTATTAATAATTATTTTTTCAGGGCAAGAAGATATTGAAGATGTCGGCAAATTATTAGGATCCATGCAACCACGCAAAAAAGAGCCACGAAAAACCACAAACAAACAAAAGATTGGTGTACATTTTTACGAGACTGCGAATGTCAAAAATCGAAATAGGAACCGAGTTAAGCCTCAGGATACGTCAAAGTTTTTGAAAAAGTTTAGGAATATGGGTGTAAATAAGAGACGATAATAAAGTGTTATATTGGCAGAACACATCAGAGTTCGTCAGAATTGTTGAAAAGCTTCAAATTTGAAACCACAACAAACCGATATTCCTACAAGAGAAGCATATAACGAATCGTTTATGAATAAACAATATCATCCAGCGAAACCATTGTAGAAGATATACAAACAGCTCATAAAAATTATCATGAATATAAATATGTCAAACCAACCAAATCTAAGATTTTTCACTACCGTTCAGCGCTGCCAAATGAAGATTCACCATACAATTCAAATTTTTTGTACTAAATTTCTCCCCGCGGGGGGGGGGGGGTGCAACCGATAGTGCTATAATCTAGTGGTTGTAGTATTACTACTATTGCTATATCGATTACTATTTAAGATGTAGTGTTTCTTCCTGTTCATTAAATGTAAAACTAAATTTGCCATTGGAGCTAAAACAGACGTGTACATATAAGGATTTCAATTTTTATAATATCGAGTTTGACGATCTATTTATTCTTGTAAAACTCAGTTGCTGACCAATTCTACTCGGCTTCGTTATTGTAATATAATGATTATGGCGCAGAAAGTCTAAAGCCGTCCAATACTTTGAACTGTAAAGAATTAAAGATTTGCATCTAAATATTTAATCACAAAAAAACATTACCAAATAGCCTTTGATAAGATCTATTAATTTAGTGAGCTTTTTCAAAAAATGATCCGATTTTTAGCACCGGCTACATCACATAAACCATTGATTGGCTGGATTTCTTCATGTAAAAATACATGATTGTTACACGCTGCATTTTTATTGGCTATCGATATTAATTTAAGTCTTTATTAGAGATATGACAAATATTAGCTAATATTCATTTTGTTATAGAAACTCCCCCTCCCTCCAGAATATTAGCTAATATTTGTTACTTCTCTTAGCTAATATTCTTGGAAGAAAAGGAAGATAATTTCATATGAATGTGTTAAATAATATCTTAAAAGGAGTTTCTATAACAAAATAAATATTAGCTAATACAAGTCACTCTTATTATAATAAACTTTCTATAATGAAGATTGACCAATAGTGAAGAAATTTCTGGTACAAAACCATTACTAATAAATTTTTACTTGATATAATAAAGTTATATAGTAAACTTTTGATATAAGTTATAGTGAAAATTTTTTTGAAAATTTAATAAAAAATTTCTTAATATAGTAAAAATTGATTATATAAAAATTTTCTAATTAATTAGATTGCAAGTATATGATATTATTGATCAGTTAAATTATGAAATGTATCAAATCAATTTATTTTTTTCAAATAACTTTTTAATTCACTTATCACTTTTTTATAATACTTATCATTTTATTTTATTTTATTTT